CCCAGCTTTGCCAGCTGCAATATCCTGTAGTGTTCACATGAAGAAACTTTCAGAAATACTGGTACAGGCTGGCTTCACACCAGCACTTGTACAAAAGAGAGGGGAGAATGAGATGCTTTGACCTCTCTACCAAAACCCCTCCAGTCACCTGTGTTCCCTTATATCATCACAGGCTGCAGATCCTGACAGATGGCCCACGGTGAGCCCTTGTTCCTGGCAGCACAGGAGACAGCCTGCCTACAGGGATGCCCTCTGCTCAAGCTCTGTTGGGTCTCTGCATTAATCCTTGTGCCCAACCATCTGAGTTCGCGCTGCAGCATCTCAACCCCTGGTGCATTCCCATATCTTCTCCCTGCTCTAATGCTGCTGATCTCTGTAATTTTCCATTCCTGTGTCCCTGCGTTCCCAAGCCATCACTGCATCCATGAGTTCTCCCCCTGATGTAGCCACATCTCAGTACCTCCATCATTGCTCTTAAACTGCCCATATTCCCAGCTTGGATCAATACCAATTTCTGCCACTTACTTGCCTACCTTTCAGCAAGCCCTTCTTTGTTCTGCATAGAAATAAAACTGTAACTGTACCTTGCCAGAAGAATTACTTTTTTAAACCTCCCTCCCTCCACTTCCTCCCTCTATTCTTCTTCCCCTTCTTCTTCAGGAGCAATTTTATGTAATTTGCAACTGTCTGCCTGCAAATGAAGAGAGACACAAAGCGTTTCTGCGAAATATTGAAAAGCTGGCTGCTTTTCCCTCAAATTTCACTTAGCGAGAGGCTTTAACTTGTTGTGTGATCACTGCATGTCATTAATAACCTCTCCAATTCCCTTCAGAACTTGGCAAAGTGAAGGCACAATCACAAATCAAAGGCATGGGTTATTGAGATATAGCATCGTTTCACCGAGCCAGGGAGGAGTGTGCCAGGGAGTGGGGAGAAGGTAAAACACTGCACTGCTAGGCTGGCTGGCAGCTGAAGAGGACACTAGATTTAGGAAGAAGTGTAAGGGCTTGATTCTCCCTCTGCTTTTCAGATCCAAAGATTTTGCCTCTGTTCAGCCTCCATGGGTTGTATTTCCCCAAGCCCTGTGGACTCAGGCCACAAAGGGAGCTGGTTTCTATCTTGTTCCTCAGGCAGCTCTGTCTCCATCTCTGTTGAGTCTTTGGAGTCCATCAAACTGCTTTGTTGGGACTGAGTCAGACTTAGTTGTGCAGTTCCCCAGCCTGTCCTCAGGGAGCAAAACTGGGGAACATGAAACAGGATCTTTGCATATGCAGGACGCAGAAAGTACTGTGAAAGGCAGGGAGTAGGAGTGTCAGGCTGGCTACAAGGTGGTCCTGGGCAGAGAACTGGCCACAATGCTGGTGCTGTCTATATGCTGCACAGCATGAGTCGCTGTGAGCAAGGTGTGATGTGCTTCCCGCTTGTCACATTTACCAACCAGGCTGACAGGCAAACTTGTCTTGCTGCGTGCCAGCCCTTTGGCTGTGCTGAGGTTCACAGGTTGCTGTCCACATCTCAGGGCCCACATCACAGTATGTGGAAACAAGCTCCGTGCCCACATGGCCACAAGGCAGGGCATTCTTCCTGCCTACCCCAGCTGACAGCAAGGGCATAGATATTTGGCATCCTTTTAAGCTCCTTAGCAAGCCTGGGTGATCAGACACTTCTGCTAATTCACCGAGGATGTGAATTGAGATGAGATGAGATGATGAGAATTGCCTCTCTGTTCTAGGAAGTTCCATCCTTCCTTCCCCAAAGGAAGATTCATGTATTTGTTACTTCGAGACTGCACTGACAGCAATTCACCAGCTCTGAAGGCAACAAGGTGTTTTAGATAATACAATATACAGCTGACAGTCGTCTTGCTTTACACCCTGAGCACATTAGCCCTTACAAGAGGGGGTGAAAGCCAAAAATATATCTACCTTCGGAAAAAGATGCTAAGCCTTACTGTCAAAAAATAACCTTTTTTGAGTTTAAATTCTATTTAGATACCATACATCCAACAGTCCTCAATTTAAAAATAAAGAATTTTGATCTCCCAAAAGGAAAACTTGCCAGAAATGCCATAAAAGCAAACAGAGGCCATGGTGATTCCTACTGACTTATGTGGAAAACCTACAATATAAATATAAATCCTCAGGAAAGCTACACTGCAGGTATGGCCCTGTAGGAACAATGTGGCAGCATTCTTAGATGGGCCGACATCACCAGCATCAGATCTGGAGGGCCTAAGCAATAACTCTGTGGGCACAGGCCCACCCAGTGACAGACTTGGAAGAGAACCCAGAAGTCCTGTTCCAGCTGCCTGATCACAGCCTAAGGACCTATCAGAAACTATATAAAAGCATTTCCATAAGTCTGTCCTTACCAAACCCCCGGACTAGACTAAGAAACCCATTTGTCTCTATCCAGGTTCATGAACTGTTGAGATCAACCACTGGTCTCTGCAGTGAGACAACAAAGGAAGGTACTTGGGTACTTGTGGCATCTATGGTTGCTTTGCAATACAATGGCAAGTGTAGGATTACCAACAAGATCCTTTCTATGCCCATTTGATCCCTTGCTGTCTCTAAATATGTTGATGCTTGGTCTTGCATTCAGATGACAGTTTGTGTCACCTTACCCTGATGTCACACGCTCTTAAACTTTCTTCTTGCTATTGCTATATGCAATAAAGAGATAGTACATGGGTAAAATGAACAAGAAATTGCTTGTTTACCAGACTACAGCCCATTTAGTGAAATCACAGCGATGTGGTCCAGTACATTCTGTTCTCTGTCCTGTGCTAGGGTCCTCACTGTATTCCTGGTGAGAGGCTTTGCCACAGAGCTCATCAGAGGATGATATAGATGTGAATGTACAGAGACGAAATTTCACAGCGTTGTTCCCAAAATAGGGAAACAATCAGTTACCTAGCACTCCTGCCTGTGACTCATTTCCAGAGTATTCTCTGTGATCAGTTGGGTCAGAGGGATGAGTGATACTATACAGACACAAGCAAACGAGGCTCAGAAAACAGGGCTGAAAGCTACCTCAGGTTACCCAGCCCATGTCCATGCCAAGACCAACTCTATGCACATCAGGATGGAGGTCTGTTCCATCTCTAAATGCCACTAAAATAACCAAAGAGAGATAGAATCCTGCCTTCTTGGTCATTGAGGGACTTTCCAAAAGAGAAACTAAATGAGATGAAGTGGTGTATTGCCAGCCTGAAAACAGACAGCTCCAAATGCAGCACAGCTCATCTTCATCTTAATCCTGAAGTTTAATTACACCACATTGCTCATTAACTGTCTCCAGACAAACATGTTTGAAAGTAGTCGGCTAGCACAGACTTCTTACTGTTCTCATACAGTTTCTTACACCTCCCTTAACATAAAAAGCCTTTAGATCACCACATCACAGATAAATTGCTGTTTTAAATACTATTCCATGCAGCACTCTCTAACCACCGAGAGCACAAACAGTAGAGAACATAGTGAAACATGCAACAAATTTCTGATGTAGAACTGCAGCAAAACTGAGATTGCCTTGAATCCACCAAGCCTCACATCAATACCCTTTCAGAGTCTTTCTACAGGTACTAGGTAGAGACATGTCTGTCTTCTCCACTGTGTTAAAGCACTGTACCATGACTCATCACGACTGCTCCTCCATCCTTTGACTTGTTCTTATAGACTCTGTTAATTCTGCCCTGGACCAGCACACACAAAAGATTACATTGCTTTAGCCTGAAAGGCTGACCTTTTCCCCCTCCCACAAAATTAACTCAAACAGTATTTGAGCACCTGGTTATCTGCACTCTTCCCCCTTGCTGCTCTGAGATAACCTGAAACAGTAAAGATCCTATTAAGTGGTAATTAAGTTACATGCCCTCAAATGCCAACACAGGCCCGTGCAAAAAGGGAGCACAGGTAAATAAATATGGAAAAGGATGTGTGCATCTGGAAGTCTTCAGGGGAGCTGGGAGAGGTGAGGAAAGCTATTTGGGCCTGTGTGGGTTAAAGAGGAAATGTTACAGTTAAGAATTCCTAACCCCTCTCCAGAGACCCCTGGTTTACATTAATTATTCTGTTGCCTTGAGCACTCAGGGCCTCCTATGAGCTTCTGTCTATAAGTACCCAACTCCTCCGCCTACTCACCTCCAAATGAATCCTTCCAATGTGCTTGATCAACCCCTTCAGCACAGCAAGGGAACTGCCCAGTCAAAGCTCTCACATCATACCAAAATGGGAATGGCAACAATTCAGAACTCCTTTCAGCTCACCAGCAGGTCCCAGGGAGGCAGAGGACTTCCCTGTGAGGAAGAACCTGTTCCACAGTGCCTAGTCTCCTGTGATACCTACTGCACTTTGCTCCCAACACCAGCTGCAGAGCGAGCAGGACCCAGGAACAGACCACAGCCAGTCTCACCTACATAACCCACTTCTCTTCCAAACAATGGGATGCAGCAAGTGTATTTTTTTGTTCTGAGAAGCTGATCCAACTCAGCCACTGCACTAGAAATCATTATGGGTCCTGCACAGAGCCACCCAACAAATTGTCCAGGCACCCTGCAGGGCAATGGATGCACCAGAAAGTTCTGCACACCTAGAGGAAAAGGGTCTGGTACCTTGTCTTCTCTCCTGTCACCTTTCCAGCGTGCCCACTGTGCAGGCTGGGCCCACATAATTCACCCCAAAGCCCACAGCTTCCTAGTGACAGCGACAGATAGCTGATGATGTCACATCACACCACAGAGACCAAAGAGCAGCACAGAAATAGGCTTGGGTGGAGTTACATGGGGCAGCCTTGGCAAGGTGAGGAAAAGAGAGGCAGCCCTGTGACGAGCAGTGCTGTGCTTTGGCTCCCACGTCCCTGTTCTAACCCCCAAACCACACTCTTTTCACAAGCAGGAAACTTAATCTAAGCCACTTCTCACCCTCACTCCCTCACCTGACAATCCCCCATTTGCCTGCCCATGGCATGAGCTCCAGGCACAATTCACTGGGACTTACCCCTGGCAAAGTCTTCTGTTCATGCAGTGCTGTCTGGGCTTTGATGGCAGAGTCTCTGGCACAGTATGTGAGGAACGCACAACCTGCAGTGGATAAAGCAAGTGTCAAGTTAGACCTGCAATTGCAGATGCACATCGACACAACGTTCCTCTTTGGTAACAGCAGGTGACTGAAGTACAAGAACTACAGATGCAGCCCTGTTCCAGCAGACCTCTGATCCAATGTTTCTGCTCAGGGGGGAGGCTTGCTAATTAAAGGTGCAAATGTCACATAATTTGGATGTGTCAAAGACTCTTGGGAAAAAGACAAAGAAGCAACATTAAAGGACTTGCAGGCCCTATCAAAGGTCTGTTGAAGTAATGGAAAAGGGTCCCAGTGAATCAAGTAGGTTTGAAACAGGTGTTGAACAAGGTGAGAAACAACAGGAGAGCAAAACACAAGCTAACGTTGCCTGTGGGAGAAACAGCCCAAAACACAAGGATTAGAGGAGATGCAAGGACCAGTATGGTGATAGATAAAAAAAAAAAAAAAAAAAAAAAAAAAGGCAAGGAAAGAGGAAAAGCATCTGGATTTCAGGCTCATATGAAATCTCCATGATCCAGATTCACAGAATCATGGAAAGCTACAGAAGGAGAGGCCTGGCTTTCTGTGCCATACATACACCCATACAACGTGCACAAACACACGCAAATATACATATGCATGACAAGGAAAATACAGAGAACAGAAAAGCATAATGCATTCTGCAAGTGATAACTTAAGAAGCAAGATGGAAAGCACACGGAAAAGGCCAGATCCTGACATTCTTAGTCAAGATTTGACTCAACATCTTAGCCTCACACCAGAGCCAAGGGAGGAGGGGAAGAATTGTAGCCCCTCCAGGAAGAAGACGGATCATCTTTGGGTGCTCTGATGCTAAGAATAATCAAATGAAACTAAGCAAAGGAAAAATTTGGCTGGTTATCAAGAAATATTTCCTAGCAGAGAGAGATTTATTAGACTGTGGAGCTCCATCACTTGAGTTGTTTCAGATGAGGATGGGCAAAGCACTGGAGAATAGACTCAAACGCTAGAATACATCTGATCCCCTCACTCACCCCTCTCCTATTCGCAGCAGCTTTTCACATCCTAAGCAAAGGCAGGACATGTCCCTTCAGTTTGTTGCTAAATGTCCACGTCTATATTGTGCTGGGGCTGCAGATGCATTGTTATGGCCCAAACAGAGAGGCCCATTCTTTTGTCCCCACCTTCTTGTGCCTGGCTTGGGGTATTCCAAAGCCGCTTCAGCTCTCCATGGATCCAAAGGTGGATGCAGGACAGGGGCTGTCTGGATCTTTCCCCTCCATCCCAGAGTGACTCCATGGTGCACAACACTTTTAAGCCATGTGGAAGCCAGCTGCTCAGGACAATCCCAACCCATAGCAACAAGATTATGCTGTTTTTCCATCCCGACTCCAATAAGCCGCTGCAGCTAAGCAAATCACATTTGTCCTCACAGCTCTTGCTAGGGAAAAAAAAACCCTCCACAAACAGCACAAAAGTATTAGATATCTCTAACAGGTAATTAAAGCTCCTTATTGCCCAGCTTTTGAACAGAGAATGCTGTACCAAGGCCAGATGTGGGATCACCGGATAATTTAACAAACGCAGCCGAGGCAAGGAAGCATGGAGGTAACCTTCACTTCTCATGACAAAGGCAGCTAGCTCTGCTGTGGGATGGAAGCACCCCTTTGCTTTCGCTCTTCTCTCACAGCCTACTGTGATGTCAAGCATCAGGAAAAGCCTCAAAAGCACCTGTATAACCAGAGAGCCCAAACCCTATTTCTAACAGATTTGGAGGCCTGGTCACCAAAGTCCCAAACGCAGATGCTTGCCTGATTCCACCTACTGCTCCAGTCTGCTACTTTGCAAGTCACACAAGACCCATTCTACAATGATCGGGGTCAGGTTTAGCACACAAAACTCTGAAGTCAGGAGTTAGGAATAAGCAATTTATTCCACTGAGAGCTTCAGTGCACTGGTACCATGTCCACGTGCAATCAAGACACCATCCTTGCCTCGGGAGAATTAGCCATCAAACCTAAGAAAACTAAGGATAGGAGAGGAGTAAGTCTACCTGAAGCTACCTGCTGAGTTAAGCACTCAAACCTAGTCCCCGAGTCCCAGTTCCAGTGCTCAGGAACATCAAAACTGAGGTAACGCACACTGCATCGCTGTGCTGGTTTTGGCTGGGATAGAGTTAATTTAGTAGCTAGTATGGGGCTATGTTTTGGATTTGTGCTGAAAACAGTGTTGATAATACAGGGATGTTTTAGTTATTGCTAAGCAGTGCTTCCACAGAGTCAAGGCTTTTTCTGCTTCTCACACCACCCCACCAGTGAGTGGGCTGGGGGCGCGCAAGAGGTTGGGAGGGGACACAGCTGGGACAGCTGACCCCAACTGCCCAAAGGGATATTCCATACCGTATGACATCATGCTTAACATATAAAGCTGGGGGAAGAAGAAGGAAGAGTGAGACATTTGGAGTCATGGCGTTTGTCTTCCCAAGTAACTGTTACAGGTGATGGAGCCCTGCTCTTCTGGAGATGGCTGAACACCTGCCTGCTGATGGGAAGTAATGAATGAATTCCTTGTTTTCCTTTTCCGATCCGCCCCCCCGTCCCGCCGGGGGAGCGAGCGAGTGGCTGTGTGGTGCTTAGTTGCCGGCTCGGGTTAAACTACGACACAGGCTCAAAAACCTCAGCCCATGGGAGGACAAGGATAAAATGAGGATTGGACAAAGGTACATCATTTAGTAGGGATAAAGGAGAGACACTCCTCACACAGGGATAGAGAGTTATTTTTCAAGGTACTGTCGTCATCATGCCAGATCAGGAATTTGTAAAACCCAGCAACATCGACATCCACCAGCACCAATCCAAAAAAGTGCCACGAATCCCCTCCCAGTCCTTCTCTTTCCTACAGCAAAGGCAGCCCAAAATTCTTTTCATCTTTTAGGCGCTCAGATATCTGTACCAAGAGGTAGCAGCCTCTGGAGACAGAAGCATCCTGCAGCTTTGGAGTCTGAAGATGCCTCACTCAAATCTCCTGCTTCACTCTCAGGGCAATCCTTGCTGCTGCTCTGCTTTTCAAAGATGTGGATATTTGCTCAACAGGAGCCAGCTTATACTCCCTCCCTTCACTCAAGCATGAAACAGCACTTGGGCAGCCTCTAACAACAGGCTGTGCCTGGGCTGGACTGGGACAAGCAAGCCTATGCACACAGGACAGCTCTCTCCACTGCTCTGTCCCTGAGCTTTTCCATGTCTCTTAAGCTTTCAGGACATTCAGCTCATTCATTTAATCTTGTTCCTGCTTCCCAAATGGCAGGAATCTGAGAGGCTGTACTGGCTGTAGAAAGCAGGTAGCTCAAGAGGTCAGCTACATCCTTTGGAAGACATTACTGTCCTCCACAGCCAGATGTTTTGGAGATAGGATGCAGGAGTCAATTCTATTGTCTTTGCAAAGTCCTGGTCATAAACACAGAAAGGGGTTTTGCAGAAACACTACATTCTAAGCCTAATTGTGTAAACAAATATTTGGGAAAAAGAATCTTCCTTCCTGAAGAGACATTATCTCTTGCAAACTAACTCTTCAGCTACTCCTTAGGATGCAGCAAGTAAGTGAAGCACCAGGCATTTTCCACAGCCTCCCCTTGTCCCCTGCTTCACCCAGGTGCCTGAAGCTTACAGAAGTACCAGAGGCTCAAGGAAAGTCACGTTTTCCCTGCTAGCAAGGATTTCCATGCTGTTACAGGACCCTGCTTACCATGTCTTTCATAGGTTCTTCAGGCTCTTAAAACTTTGAGCCTGACAGTCACTCAACAGTGAAGAGATGTCCACAAAGGTGCAAAGGGGCCCGTCCCTCTCACTAGGTTTTCTCACTTCCACATTTCCTGCTTTAGTTAACAGCAAACTCAGGTCAACAGGCTTATACCCCTTTGGGCACTTCTAACACCAAGTCAGCTGAGACATGGGACATGGTGTTTCAAAAGTGCTGGCCTTGAAGGTCCCAGGCACTCGGCCAACCAGGTGGTGTTGATGATCCAGTCACAGAACAAGGAAGTGTAACAGCACCCAGAGCACTGCCTATAAAATCAAACCATTACAAGTCCTAAATGGGGGAACTTGGACGAGAGCTGCTGCTGGACAGTGAGAGCTGTGACCCCCGGTGGCCAGGGATGCCTCCACCATCATCTGCTTCCTCTGAGGACTGAGTGACTCGTCTTCTTTTATATGATTTTCAAGTCTAGATTATGATTGTTATATTGATACAGCAAACCATGTATTAAAATCTGACCTGATCTGCAGGGGGTCCAGGTGATTAGAAATCATAAGTTAAGTTGTATTATAAATTCTGTATTACTCTACTTGTAGATTGTACAATAGTGGTTCTGCTTGTAGAAATCCTGTGCCATTCTAATCATAAAATTCTGTTAAGAAAATAAAGCTTTAAGTGTAACTATGACAGTGCCGTCATCATTCTGCCAAGGATCCCTAAAGAACCTGTATGTCCCCTTAGTGTCAGATGACAACACCCTACTCCCACTGTCTCCAGGAGGGCTCCCAGGTCCCTCTAAGCAGAACCCAGCTTAGTTCCACACTTGCAAGAAACTGCAGAAAAAAAAAAAAAAAAAAAAAAAAAAAAAAAAAGATATTCCGTGCCTGATCCTCCCTACAAGTAACACATTGGCTCTGGGATTTACAGTCCTTTCAGATCCTAAACATTAGTCCAGACATCAGCAGTCTAAAGCCTTGAGCAAGAAAAGGCTGTCAGTTTGCAGAACAGAGGGGTCTCTAGATTCAGCTTAGCATTAAAAATCACATCAAATACTTCAGCAGGGGAAGCATGGAATCAGTGGGGAGCTTATCTACAAGCCTGCAGAAGCTGAGTCAAAACTCGGCTGCCAGTGAAGCAAGTTAGGCTGAGGCTGTTATTGCCTCCTCTTGTCCTTTGGAAAAGCCATCCATCTGTCCACACACTGTACGCTTCTCCACACGTCCTGCGAGAGGGCTGATCCTGTCCCTGCCATTCCCCTGCAGTTCAGTTTAGTATCTCACACTCCAGAATCTCTCCACTTCCCCTACTACGGGCACTGCTAGGAAACCCATCCAGGAAAGCGTATTGACACTCATGAAGGAACTGCCTTCTGCCCAATCCTGGAACACAAGACCAAAAATTTCCATTTGATTCTCCCTGCTCGGTCTCCTCTGACCCATTCCAAAAGCCTGTTCAAATGCCTCCCTGCCCTTCCCATGAAAATATTACCTTTAAGACAAACACTGCCATTAACATGCAAATGTATCTGTGATTAATATAAATAGAAAAACTGCCTCATGAATAATACTAGGAGGCTGGAACAGTATCAACTACCAGTAGTCAGGTTGCTGAGACATGAATAGTCAGGCACAAACAAAACCATTTCGTAACAGTGCTCATGTTTCTAGCAGGCTTGTAAGATCCTCCTCTGCCTCCAGTGAATTCATCAGTTCTCAGCACCTGTACAGGGCAGTCCTCTTGGGCTCTTGGACTCTGCAGCCCAATGCACACCTTCCTGCCCCCGGCAGGCCTTTTCCACCCTTCTTTCCTCCCTGGGGGCAGAGGCAGCTGCTCAGCTCTGTGTCAAGCTGCAAGGGATTGCAAGAGGAGCTGCTGGGCTTTACCAGCAGTGCTGGCTTCTCACACAACTGTTTCTCCCCATTTAGGGAAAAAAAGGGAAAAAGCATTCGCCCCATTTAGGGAAAGAAAGGGAAAAAGCAGATGGAAGCCGCATGTGAGCTGTCAATTGGATCTCTCTGCAGATAAGGGAACATGGGGAGAAAAAACTGAATCTGCTGTTACAACTGCCCCAGAAAGATTATGGCTTCTGTATGGCACAGGAATGAGTGCATCGTTACCCAGATTTGCCAATGCCTTCCCCTGATCAGGAGTGGTAAAGCCCTGACCAGCTCCTGTGACAGTGCTCCAGGCCGCTGCTGCTTCTGGGTCAGGTCTGGCATCCTCCAGGCCTACTGATGCTAATGGGAGCAGTAGCTCCTCACCAGGTTAGCCTTCTTGCATGCAGCATAAGCCAATGCAGCCAGATCTGATAAGATGGGAGGGGAAGGCTGGGGTCAGGGTTGGCTGGATTGTGGGTCTAATTTCTTCACTGCATGCTAAACCCCCCCCCCCCACGTCCTTGTGGAGGAATGACTTCTTTGGAGAGGTATATTGCATATTCCCAAACCAGTTTGTGCATCTACATGTAAACCCATGCCATCAGGAAAGGAATCCCAACCTTTGACTTTGTACAAAACGGGGTGGGGGGAGGGGAGGGAGCAGAGGAAACTGAATGTGTCTGGAAATTACTGTACAATAGCCACCAGAAGAACCCACACATCTCAACGGCCTTTTCTGGACAGAACAGAGCACAAACAACCCTTGACCAATACCTGCATCCGCTCAAAAATGTCAAAACCAAAGGGATATATTTATTTTGCTGCAGGAATCCTGCATTTAGCAGCAAGTTAATGTCACACAGATCTGGCTAATACCAGTGCTGCTCCCTCTAATTTCCATATCCAAGTGGCAGATCCCTAGAATCTGTCTCCTGCCTGGAACCTGACCTCAGACCACACAGTCTATATTTAATAAGTCAACTGAAATGAAATTTGCAATTGCGTCTTGCCTCGTGCCCTTTCTCCTCCTCACTGGGTTTGAAACCTGGCAGCTCACTGTCAGACAGCAGCAGGTCTGGACTCAGTCCCTTGCACACATAGACACACAAGCACATGGCATTTTGGTTCTGAAGCCCCAATCAGACATACTTCTTCAGCTAAATTCAAGCCAGCCCAGCTCCCACAGGCTTCAACGAGGAATTGTTTTCCTTTTGTGTTGGGGTTAGATTTGGCCTTTTGTTTGAAAATAAACTTATTTTTCTGTTATCCCTTTCCCTCTCTGTTCAGTCTAGAACAGTTCGAGTTGCCACAGCACTCGCAGTTTTTCTTACCTTTCCTCCTAAATCTGAAACCAGAGGCATCAGGACTGAACGTAACTCATACTCCCTCCAGCATGCACCAACACATGACCCCATCATGAATTATTTTAGGGCACAGCGGCCCAGACTGAGCACTGACAGCTTTCAAGGTACTTACTGTAGGTTCCTTGCGGGCTTGCTCTACATGTACCAGTGAGTGGTGCTGCGATCACTCTCTCAGATCTCACAGCAAACAGGCTCCGTGAATTCCCATTCATGGCTGGAGCTGTGGTGATCACAAGATCCCAAACACCTGCTGAGGGTGGGCTAGAACTGCTCCATAGAAGGGAGCTGACATCCTGAACGCAACGGCTTTTCAAAATACAGCTTTCAAATACAACAAAAGCGCAGCTAAACAAGCCTCCTCAAACTTTTTAGCATCCACTAAAGGTCTTTCAGCGAAGAAAGACCCCTCATCTATCCCAATCTATCATCAAGAAGGCCCCTCATCCACCCCAAACGCCACTGGCAACAGCAGATTTGCGGCCAATACTCTTTGTTACACGGATTTTAAAACTGTAGCGCCGTATTCCTGCCTGGGAGGAGGTCTGAGACCGCAGGGAGGATGGCTGGCCGCTCACCGAGGGCTCCCGTTTCAGCCCTAGCTGCCGCGACCCGCAGCAGCCTCAGTGTGCCCCACTCTACACATTGGCGCCTTTGTCACAGCACCCCACGCACCGGCGCGACCGGCGCCAGGCCCCGGGCTACCGGCGGGGTGCCGGTGCCGGGACCGGGGCAGGAGGGCTCCGCGGGGCTCCGGCGCGGGGACGCCGAACACTACCCGGGCCACGGTGCCGACCCCCGCCCGTCGGCACCAGGGGATGCAGACCCTTTCCCGGGCAGCGGATCAGGGGGCGCAAGCCCCCGCCGGAGGGGGCAGAGGCAGCACGTCGCGGTGGGTCACGCGTGGACCGACCCGACGGCGGGCGGGGGATGGTGGGACCCACCGCCCTTTGTGCCCGCCCCGGGGAGCGGGCCGTTCCGTGCGGTGCGGGGCTAGGCTTACCCTTGTGCATGCCGGTGTAGCGGTCCTTGAGCACGGTGAGCTCGTAGATCTTGCCGAACTGCTCGAAGAGCGGCTTGAGGTCCTTCTCCTCCAGGTTGCGCGGGATCTGCCCCACGAAGAGCTTGATGGCATCCAGGTCCTTCATGCTGTCGGGCTGCGCGGG